CAGCACGGTTGGGATTGTTGTAACGGCGCGGAGCGACTGAGAGAACCCATCTGTTCCATCCACCCCGACCGAGAACACCAGGGCTGCTGCAAAGGCCACAGGGTTCATTCCCCATCAGTCTGACGTTACTTTAAAACTTATTTTTCACAGCAGGGCTGCCCGGACAGCCGGAGCTGCGGAGCGCCTCGGGATAAAGACTTCCTGGTCACTGACCTCCTGCTTTTATTGCCATGCAAAGTGCTCTGCAACAACAGACTGACAGCTGGGGCGAACCCCTGGAGATCCCCCGGGCCCTGAGTGCTGCACGTCCTCTCCCCTTTGAGGTGGGACCTTGTCCCCTGTCCCTGCCCATGGCAGGGGGTTGGAACTGGATAATCTTTGAGGTCCCTTCCTACCCAAACCACTCTGGGATTCTGTGATTCTTATCTTGCCTGCAGACTGAGTGGATAATGAGTGGGGGCACTGGCACAGAGGGAATGGTTTATCCATGGCATGGGATGGCATCAGAGCTACGGACACACAGCCCTCAGAGCCCCCACGTTGGCTCAGAGACCCTCTGCTAGTGAAGCCCTCTGGGGCTGCTGCGTGTCTGCCCTGCTGAGACTGGCACGAGGGGGAGGCAGCAGCACCCCCAGAGGGTTACAGGGCGGGCTGTGGAGCTCCTCCATGCAGCTGTCTTTCCCTTGGCTTACTTTCAAACATTCCTATTGATGCTATTTCCCCTCCCACACACCTCAGCGTGATGCCTGTTTAAATGAGCCCCTCTCTCCGATATCCTCTGTCCACATGTATGTGTGGCTCCATTTCTCCATCCCTCCTTGTGCCCATCCACCATGCCTGGGCCAGGAACCAGCACTGGTGTCATGATGGAAACATGGCAAACCCCAGAGAAGAAGGGCAGTAGGATCACCACTCCTGCCATCCCACTGTGGTGGGAATGTCCCCTTCTCCACTGGCAGTGGGGTGTCCTTGCCAAACCCTTGGCCAGAGACTGACACCATGTCCAGGGGGTGCTGTGGCACAGTGGGAACAACAGTCACCCCTGCTCCATGATTTGCCCTTTGTGTGTTTTCCATGCCCACGAACACGCTCCTCCTTCCCTGGCCAAGGAAGGCAGCTGGACCACGGTGGCTGCCTGACTCTGAACTGGAGCATCCCTCAAAATTCCCATCTGGGCATCATGCCCTGGAGCTCAGCAGCTCCCTTGGAGCCCCCATACCCTGCTGACTCCATGGGCAGCCCTGCGTGGTCCCACGTGCTCCCCAACCCGCACCCAAACTCGCGCTCGTCTTCCCTCCACAGATTTGTTTTATCTCTTTGGGAGCCTGATGCCTCCCATCTGTTCCAATGCCAGATGAAATTAAATATTTGTAGTTTCCAAGGGCTGTGGTTAGCAATAAACAAGTTAGCTAACGAGGACTTGGTGCGCCGGGGGCTGGGGGGTCCGTGTGTGTGAGGGTGGGGTGCAGGGGCTTTTCTCTGTGTACATTTTTCTTTAACCAAACCTTCAGTTTTAGGATGCTTTTCCACACCAGAGCAGCTCGCCGGGGCTCTCCGCAGCGAGTAAAGCTCTACTTAGTTATTTACACCAAGTTTGTTTATTGCACAGTTTATGTTTATAAGCAACATTTGTCTAATCTCTCCCAAATCTTTCCGAAGGAATTTCGGAGGCCGCTTTTGGGGCCCGTTGGCCTCTCTCAGGGCGCCGGGGGCACAGCCCTGCCAGCCTGGACCACGCTGTTCTCCCCACCCCCGGCGCACCGCAAGTGTAAACGGGATTTAGGGATTTTCCCCGTTGCATTCCTTCTTAATTTCTGTCTGTGTTTCAGCTGGTATTTTGTTGCTAAGTAACACTTCAGGGTTTGGAAGCGTTTCCACGAGGGTGCTGCTCCCCGCGGCCACGGCCATCCCGCTCTCACCCTTAGTCACGGCGGCCTGGGAGCGCGGCCACGACTGCACTGGCCACCACCACGGTGTCCCCAGCCCGTCCCTCCTGCCCCTGTGACACCGGGCTCACCATGCCATGCCCCCAGCACGTGCACAGCCACACACAGGCACCCACGGCCGCTTTTTTGGACGCCAGAGTTCACCAATTCCTGGCGTTTCTGCGGGGCGGTTGAGCCGTGCCTGACGTCACCGAAAATTAATAATTTGCAGTTGTTTAGAAGAGACGTTCGGTTGATGTTTCCTTTCCGTGTACTGCGATCAGAAGGGACCCGGTTTTTTCCTATTAAACTACTTAAAAAGTTGACTCTGAAAATGAGAAGCATTTCCGCCAGTTCCACAAGTTTATTGTGTGTGAATCCCTAGAAGAATTTGGCAATAATAATTAAAATAAGGAACGATGATGCACCACCGAATGTATTTACTGTAATATCAGCGGTGCTAAAGATGTGTTTGGAAACCTATGCAAATCACTGAATAACTTTTTCCCAAACCACAGCTGGTTGAAACCACTTTCAGTAAAACCCAATTTCATCTAAACACACTATTTTGTCAGAACTGACACGTCCAGCACAACAGCGCTCAGTTCAATTTAGGCTTTTCTTAGGAATGTTCTGCTTTACAGAAGAGAAAGTTCGATTGAAAGTGTGAATTTTAGAGTTTAATATATTTTGGGGTTGATTTTTTTGGGGCTTAAAAGTAACGTATTTAAGGCCCTGCTGAAAATATCCAAAGGCACCGTGCCTGGCTGCACCACGGCTGTGGGGCTGCATGGGGGGCTGCCCAGCCCCAGGCACCCCCCTGCCCCAGCACCCCAGGGCTGCCCTGCTCTCCTCTCCCCTCGAGCTGCCAGGCAGGGATTGTCTGCAAGCTGAGAACACAAACTGCTGTGGGAGCTAAATGTAGCTTCCTCCAAACAAGCCACAGCTACCGAGGCTTAAAACGTGGCTGGTTTTCCTCCCGCTTGCTGGGAAGCAACATGTGCTCGGAATGAGGGCAGACCGCGGCGAAGTGGGGTTCGACAGCAAGGGAAATGGGTGGTATTTACACTCCTCCTAAAGAAAGAATCCTCACCCCTCAGGCAGCGTCCACGTGTGTTACCAGAACTGCCCAGCTCGGATGATGCTGTGACTACTCCATACCTCCTCTTTTTCCGGCCACATTACCCCAGGTACCCACTCCTCAGCTCTAATGAGCCTCCCCTTCTCCTGCCTCCTCGAGAATGGTAATAATCCAACTTCTCCACTGTCCCTTCCTTCCTTCCTCAGCTTTTAGGATTTTAGCAACCTCACCTTGCCCGCAGAAACCGTCCTGCCTTCACCTGCCCTGCTGGGGGGGGCCAGAGCTGGCTCTGGAAGCCAGGCCAGTGCTTGTATCAACCTGAGACTCCCCAACAGTGACTCATTTTCTCTCCCGGTGGTTCCAGTGCCCCGCGGCTGATCTGGCTGCAGGAGATCTCCTCTGGGCATGGTTGGGAATGGCACGGCTCTTGCTCCTTTGCTCAGTATGTGCCCCCCAAAGCCTGTCCTGCTCTCTGGAAGAAGCTGCTCCTCACGCCATCCACCTTTTGTGCCTGGTTGCCACCGGCTGCCTGAGCGGCACGTCCCCTGAGCAACCCGCTCCCTCCCAGCCCCACAGCTTTTCCATCTGCCTTCCTCACCCTGGAATGGCTCTCCCAGGGGATGCCAGCCCGGCCACGATTGCCACACGCCCAGACGTGCTCTCAAACACCGGGAATACTTGTGCTATCGGCGTGACTGTGAAGTGCTCCCGGGCCCTCACAGAGTGCTCCACGGTAGCTGAGGAATTCCAGAAACCACCGTTCCCTTGCAGTGGCAGATGGGTTGAATTTGATTAAGTTCTGCCTCATCCACCGCGATCTGCTAATGATGATGAGATTGGCGTGGAAAACAGTGTTTTCCACAAGATTAGAGAGGACTTTTATAGGGTGGGGGACACTGAGAACTTTTCTGCAGCCAACTATTTTTTTTCCTCCAGTGTTGCTGAACTACTGAAGCAGCGCGAGGTCTCTCTTGGAAAACTTTGCCATCCTTGTTTTCCTAATTACTCTCATTCCGCATACATGAATTTTCATTGTTACAGGAACCGGGGCAGGAGGAGGTTTAATTTCTAGAAGGCTCGTATTTTCTGTGGCATCATTTCTATCTGTTACAGAGCCCCACTTTATCCAAAGGAGGGGGAACAGCAGCTTCTTCACTTCCCGAGAGCTGTAATACGAGCGTGCGGGGCAACACCGCAGCCCGTAGGGATGGGGGAACGCCGGCGGGATCGGGGTGGATCAGCTGGGAGCTGCTGCCGCTTCCCCGATCTAAACCGCACCGAGGGGCTCACCCTGCTCCCCGCCGTGCCCGGGGAGGGATGGCTTTTAGGGAGGTCACGGCGCCCGACAGAACGGAGGGTGCCCGCCGCAAGTCTCGGCCCCGGGAGAGGGGCGGCGGCGCTTTCGGGGTGCGGGGTGCCTGAAGCGCTGCGGTGGCTGCGCCGCGGGGAAAGACCCGGCACCGACCCCGGCGCGGTGCCGCTCCCGCCGCTCCGCTCCCCCCGCCGCGCTGCCCCGGGACCCCGGACCCCGGGACACCGGGACACCGGCACCTCGGACACCGGGACACCGGCACCCCGGGACACCGGACACCGGGACACCGGCACCCCGGGACACCGGCACCCCGGGACGCCGCCGGAGCCGCGCAGGTGGAGCCGCGGGGACAGACGGGGAACCCGCACAGCCCCGGCCGGTCCCCGCCGGCTCCCACAGCCGCACGTCGGGCGCCGGCCCCGGCACGGCGGGGCTCGCTGCGCTCCCGCCGGCGCTGCCCCGACCGCCGCTCGGTCTTCTCCGTCCCCATCGCCATCCACGTCTCCATCGCCATCCACGTCCCTATCCTGTCCCCGTTCCCGTTCCTCATCCCTATCCCTATCTCCATCCCCATCTCCATCCCCGTCCCCATTCCCGTCCCTCGACCGCGCCCAGCGCAGCTCCCGCGGGCGGCGGCCCCGGGACCGTCGGGGCGGCGGCGCCGTCGCGGGGATTCACTCACCACCACGAGGAGTCGGCGCGGGGCGTCAGGGCGAGCAGGAGGAGGACGAGGGGGAGGCAAAGCCGGGGGGCCGCGCCCGCCGTCCGAGGGAAGGCTCCGCACTCCGCACGCCCGGGGGCCACGGCAATCCCAGGAGACGCTTCCAGGCGGTTTGGGCTGAGCATATCTCTCCGGGGCGGGGTCCAGACGGAGAAATGACCGGGGAGGGGGGTCCTGCCCGCACTTCCCTCGGGGCACTGCCCGTCACGGCCCCGCGGCGCGTCCGCCGGCTCCGCGCTGCTGAGCGAGCCCCGGCTGGGCCCCCGCGCCCAGGCTCATGCTGCTGCGGGGGGCGGCGGGGCCGGGCCGGGCCGGGCCGGGCCGGGGGGGGCGGCGGGGGGGGCTCCCCGCGGGGCTGCGGGGCGCTCAGCGGGGTCGGAGCCCCCCGAGCGGCGCGGGGCGGGCGGCGGCGGGGCCGGGCCGGGCCATGGAGGTCCTTGCGCGGAGGGCGAGGGCGCTCTGGGGATGGGAGCGCGGGGGCCGCGGCCAAATATTGCCGGCGCCCGCCGTGCTGCGGGCTCTCATTGGGCAGAGTCAGAGGCGCGGAGCCGCCGCTCCGGCCGGACCGACCCCCGCCTCCCCGAGGGCACGTCGGACAGCCCCCTCCGGGCTCCTGCCCCCGCCGCCGCCCCGCACCGGGGGCCGCTCCCACCGCCGCGCCCGCACCCGCGGGGGACGCGCAGCGGAGCCGCGGGTCGCGGCCGCCCCGTCGGGCCCCGCCCGGGGGGAAGGGGCGCAGCGGCGCGGCGGGATGCGGGATGAGGGATGCGGGATGCGGGGATGCGGGGGCACGGGGCCGGCTCCGCCCGCGCTCGCCCCCCGCCAGGTGTCACTGCAGGGTGGGAAACCGCAGGGTGGGCCGCGCTCTGCGGGGCTCCGCGGGGCTCCGCGCCCCGTCGGGGGCTGTGCCCGCCCGTCGCGGTGCCCGCGGCTCTGGTGCGGGCGGGAGTGGGCAGCGCACGGGGGTCGGTTTGCCGAGAGCTGGTGGCTCCGGTGCGGGGTGACCGTGAGGGTCTCAGCAAGGGGGTGGAGGTGGTGCAGACCCCACAGGTGCCCGGGGACCCGCAGGCAGCGGTTGGGGGGTGGGACACGATGGACATGCTCTCCCTGGGACGGTGATGGCCCCAGTGAGGGTCACCACCCGGCATCAGTGTCCAAGCCCAGGCACAGCCCTTTGTGACAGTTTGGCGAGTGCTCCCCACCTCCATCTGCCCCTGTCACCTGTGACTTCAAAAGGTGGATGAGCTGCCCTGGACACTCAGCTTTCCTTCCTTTATCACCCTAAAAATGTTGGCTGGCAGCTGTTGAAGACCAGCCCTACCTGGGAGCTGCCTCTTCCCCAGCTCCCGTGGAGCTGGTCCTTCCACACCATGGAGGTGAGCAGGCATTTGGGTAACCTCTCATTGCCAGCACTTTCCCAATATGCCTAATTATTTACTGGGATTGTAAAACTCATTATCCACCGGAGTCCTTTCCACATTACCAGAGCCCTCAGCTGCCCCCTCCCCTCATTCTGCTCTTTCCTTCCCGTTCCTGTTCTTCAGATCAGAGAGAGACTTCCCCAGCCTCAGAGAAATGGGGACTAGAAGCTCACACTCGGTTATAATCCAATTATACTTCAGAAAACTGCAGTGACAGAAAGCTGGTGCTGGTGGGGTGCTGTCCTTTTGTCCGAGAGCCCACATGGAATATTGCATTACAGCTTATCCCTGAAGTGGTGGCACTGAAAAGACTGATATTTATAGACTGTGAAAAGCTGTGAATTTGTTTAGAAGACCCAACCTAGCAGGCAGCGTGCTGGGGGCTCTGCTGAGGCCATTTCATGGGCTCTGCTCTGTTAATGGGTTGTTTCACACAAAGAGAGGAGCCTGAGTTCTCTGTTTCTTGCTCTGATGGGGAGGGAAGGGGGGAGTTGACAAGCACCACATTCATGTGGGTGTGCAGGTCTTGGCTGTGACGTGGTGCTGGGCAGGAGACCTCTGGCTCAGGGTGAAACTCAGGATGAGGGCAAGAGGCAGCAGTGCCAGCCCTGGGAGAGGAGGCAGGGTTGATGGGTGTCTGCAGGGGGGATCACAGCTCAGTTTTGGTGTCGAAGTGAAGTGCTCAGGCCGGGTTTCAGAGCTCTGCACCCACCGTGCTGAATTTCCCTGTCAACCTGGTGGCTTATCTTGATGCTCTTCTCCATAAAACCCAATTGACAGCTCATGGAGTGTCCCCTGGGTTTGTGTCAGGCTCTCCCTGTGCTGGGCAGTGAGGAGGCCAGGGCAGCCCTTGCTCCTCTCTGACTGTGGTTCAGCCAGGCAGAGCCTGGTGGTGTTTGATCTTCCATTCAAATTAGCAGCACTCAGGGTGTCTGGGTGCCTGGTCCACATGAGCTGTGGTGAGTAAATAAACAAGGCTCTGCTTTCAAAGGCTTTCACGACTCATTAACTTCAAAGGAACGGGCTCTCTATTTTCTTAGCAGGTCGGTGGCTCCACAGACTCGCTCTGGGTGCTGAAGGTGGTGGCTGGTCATGCTGGGAAGTTGGGGCAGCCTCTGCAGGGTCAGTGTCACACACAGAGCTGTGGCAAGGTGTTACCCCTTGGGAGATGAGCAGGGTAAGGAAATGCACAGGTGAGGATGATCTATGGCATTCCCTGCCCCAAAAAGCTGCTCCACAAGTGGCATCCAGCCTGCAGCGTGCCCAGGGCACTGCCAGGCAGGGTTTGCAAGCCAAGGATGGGTACCAGATCCACCCCTGCTCTGCACAAGCCTCCCCATCTTTCCACGGAGGCAGCGTGGTCTCACCTGCCCCTGCCATGTCCCTGTAGGTGAGGGTGCTCTGCCCCATGAGCCCAGCTCGCTCTGGCAGTGTGAGCAGGAGGTCACTCTCCCTCTCCAGCTGTCCCTCCCGTTGGATTCCTGCTTTGATTGTGCAGGCACAGGTGCTGGGGCTGTGCCAGGCGCGTGGAGCGAGCGGAGGTGGCAGAGGGATTGCTGCCATGCCTCCAAAATGCCCGTGCTGGGCACTGCTAGGAAGCTCACCTTTCACGTGGCAGCCCCAGGAATAACTTGGAGCCTTTGGATGATCACAGCTGCCTGGAACCCCAAGGGGAAAAATCAGTGTCCTGGGATAACCCTCAGTGCCAGGCTGGCTGACCTCACGGGAAACCCATTTTCTGGGGCAACAAAGACCTATTAAAACATATTGATTGGGAACTTATTTTGGGATGGGTAGTGCAGCTTGGTCAAGCTCCTGAACTTGTGAAAAAGGGACCTGAGAGGGGCTGTGTGCCTTTGGGGGCACAACCTCTGTCAGGCTTGTTTCCTCTCCAGCCACAGCACAGCAGGGGACACGGTGCTGGACATTGTCACTACCCAGCACAGTGACACAGCAGAGCCCCAGGAGAGAGCTGTGCTCGAGGCAGGGTGTCCTGCTCCGTGCTGGGGGCTCAGCTGCCGGCAGAGCTGGCCCTGGACCCCCACATTCCCCACTGTGCCAAGAAGGATGCTCAGGAGAAGCAGCTCCAGCTGGCTGGAGACAGGCAAAGGAACCCTTTCTGGGGCAGGTAAGGGGTTCCTTGCTGAGGGACAGCACTGAGACATCACAGCCACAGGAGCCCAGTGCCCTCTGCAAGCTGCACCTTGTCCAGCAAAGGTGTGGTGAGTGGTGAGCCCTGGCAACTCCAGCACTTGCCTGTGAAAGGAAGGCCTTTTATCCCCCCAAAAAACACAACTCCCAACGGCCAAGCAGTCCCCAGTTAGCCCCTGGCTATACCCCCAAGGTCTGAGATGCTAAGAATACATTTTGGAGAGCTACAAATAACCAGGAGGATGAATTGACCCTTCCTTACGGCCCCACCACCATAGAAACAGGAGCCAAACAAACAGGCACGAGCCAGCCCTGTTAGCAGAGCAAAGGCATGTGCTTTGTTAGTCTATCCCCTGCTTCCCCTGTTAATTGCTTTGTTCCTTCTCAGATTAATTGATGAATTGCTGTGTGGACATGCAATGCCTGGCCTTGCAGCCACGTGGTGTGTGTAACCCTTTGACCTCTGTGGATACGTGGGCACACACAGCATGGGGACATCCTTCCCTTCCTCGTGTGCCCAGCTGGAGTTGAGCAGCTCCTGCCTGAGGAACTTGGAAAGGTGTTCATGTTGCAGGTTTGACTGTGAGCAGAAATAAAGGTCAAATAGTGAAATTAAAACTGTGATGTCAGTCCCGGCTTTCCACCCAGCAGTTTTTGTGCCTTCCCGGAGGAAAGTACTCTGGAAAGAGCTGGTTTCCTACCCTGCACCGTGGCATCAGCTTGGACCTGGCTCCATCCCTCCCTTCCCTGCCCGACGGGCTCCTCCCAGAGCAGCCCCGATGTTCCCGATCACCCAGGTTCGGCCGCGCTAGTCAGAAAAGTCCCCGGAGGCCAGAGGTGGTGCAATAACACCTAAAAATACCCGAGCAGCCCCGGTTTCCGTCATCCTCCAGAGGCATCTGTGTATTGTGTGTGCGGGGAGAGCAGGACGGGGAGAAACCGGCCATAAATCCTGCCGGGCTCCTCTCTCGGCTGCTCCCTCTCCCTCCCACCGACGGCGGCCGTCCCGGGGCTGTCTGGCAGGCGCGATTCCCGGCTGTCATCGGCGGATCAGACGGCGCTGAAATTCGACAGGCCTGTGGAAAAACACGGGGTGACATCACGCAGAGACACCATCCCACTGATTAATCTCCGCGAGGTCAGCGGCTGCTTTATTTATAACCTGGGGAAGGGGTTTGAGGTGGGTTTTGACAGGGGTGGAGCGGCATGTCCCGCGTCCCCGGAGCAGCCGCCTTTGGGGACACCTCTGCCTCCGCTGGACGCCGCTGGAGCAGCTGGAACGGGGCTCAGGAGCACCGAAATCAAGCCTAAACCAGTGCCAGGGTACTAAAGCCCGGCTGGAGGGACCAGTCCCACTGCACCTTTGTCTAGATTCCAGCTGTTTTCTTTGCTCCTGGAGTTTCTCCTCACTCTCCCCAGCAAGAACAGCTCGGCTCCCCCCCCCCTCCAAAACACAGCACATCAAACTTGAAATGTTTTGTGAAACTCTGTCAAGCTTTGGGAGAGAGGGAAGGTGGTCCAGAGGGCCACAAAAATGTTCTGTTTCTTCAGTTTCAAAACAACCTTTCCCATTTCCAATGACTTTCTG